GCTAGTTTCAACCAAATTGATATTAGAATTACATTAAGTGAACTGGAAGTAATTGACTTGCCACTGCAATCTCAATCGATTATTTTGAAGTTTTCGTTTGATTTATCAATATCGATTTTCTCCTTTCAAATTTTAAGTGTAGTGTGTGCCCGGACAATATGTGGTGTCTACAGTTGCCCCCCTTTGTATATCTCTTTGTATAAAGAGTTATACAAAGTTCCTATAAAGACACCACATTTTGAAAAGTAAAACCCTCAAAAATAGAATTTGAGCTGATCTTTGGTAATAGTGACGTATCCATATTGTTAAGATGATGGTAACCAAATTGTATAAGAAAATGGCAGTGATGAAATCAAACTTGCCATTCAGTAACAACGAACAACGATATACTCAAGTTGTTCGTGATAGAAACAAATCGATCGATTTTGAAACACGTTAGCGATGAAATCAAGCTAACCATTTTGCAACAATGATATAATCAGGTCGTCTGTGATAGAAATTTAGATGAACATCGGAATAAGTGCTAACGATAAAATCAAGCTAACCGTGTTGCAACAACGATGTACTCAAGTTGTCCGTGGTAAAAATCAAACTGATCAATGGTAGAATGACAGCGATAGCGTCAAGCTAATCATTTTATAAGGACGATGTACTCAAATTGTTTGTGACAAAAATCAAATCAAACAATGAGGATGATGTCAGTGATAAAGATCAAACTAACAATTTTGTAAGGGACATTGTACTCAAATTGCTCGCGATAGGAATCGAATCAAGCGATGAGAAGATGTTAGTGATAAATATCAAACTAACAATTTCGTAAGGAGATTTACTCAAATTGTCTATGATAGAAATCAAATAGCACAATGAGGAAAGCGTTAGCGATAAAGATCAAGCTAACGATTTGGTAAATGATATTGTACTCAAATTGTCTATGATAGAAATCAAATAGAACAATGAGAAAATGTTAGTGATAAAGATCAAACTAACAATTTTGTAAATGATATTGTACTCAAATTGTCTATGATAGAAATCAAATAGAACAATGAGAAAATGTTAGTGATAAAGATCAAACTAATAATTTTGTAAAATATATTGTACTCAAATTGCTTGTGGTAGGGATCAAATCAAGCAATGAGAAGATGCTAGCGATAAACATCAAGCTAACGATTTAGTAAAGGATATTTTACTCAAATTGTCTATGATAGAAATCAAATAGAACAATGAGGAAGATGTTAGTGATAAAAATCAAACTAACAATTTTGTAAACGATATTGTACTCAAATTGTCTATGATAGAAATCAAATAGAACAATGAGGAAAACGTTAGCGATAAACATCAAGCTAACGATTTGGTAAAGTATATTGTACTCAAAGTGCTTGTGGTAGGGATCAAATCAAGCAATGAGAAGATGCTAGTGATAAAGATCAAACTAACAATTTTGTAAATGATATTGTACTCAAATTGTCTATGATAGAAATCAAATAGAACAATGAGGAAGATGTTAGTGATAAAAATCAAACTAACAATTTTGTAAACGATATTGTACTCAAATTGTCTATGATAGAAATCAAATAGAACAATGAGGAAAACGTCAGCGATAAACATCAAGCTAACGATTTGTTAAAGTATATTGTACTCAAATTGCTTGTGGTAGGAATCTAATCAAGCAATGAGAAGATGTTAGCGATAAACATCAAGCTAACGATTTAGTAAAGGATATTTTACTCAAATTGTCTATGATAGAAATCAAATAGAACAATGAGAAAAATGCTAGTGATAAAGATCAAACTAACAATTTTGTAAAGGATATTGTACTCAAATTGTCTATGATAGAAATCAAATAGAACAATGAGAAAATATTAGTGATAAAGATCAAACTAACAATTTTTAAGGGACGTTGTACTCAAATTGTCTATGATAGGAATCAAATAGAACAATGAGAAAATGTCAGTGATAAAGATCAAACTAACAATTTTGTAAAGGATATTGTACTCAAATTGTCTATGATAGAAATCAAATAGAACAATGAGAAAATGTTAGTGATAAAGATCAAACTAACAATTTTGTAAAGGATATTGTACTCAAATTGCTTGTGATATGAATCAAATCAAACAATGAGAAGATGTTAGTGATAGAAATTAAACTAACAATATGGTAAATGCATAGTGGTATTTCGCATAAAAAGTTTTCACATACTATTTATATGGATATTTTAGAAATTTAGGAAATGATTGTGATGCATAACAAGTCACTTTAATGTATAATGATGTTATGACGTGATTATCAAAATGATTTGAACATGATTTTGTGATATGTCATGCTGATGAAGTCGTGAATGTTGAGTGACATGATCCTTTGGAAATTAGGTATGCCAATATGTTGTTTTGTTTTTGTTGGTTATTTTGTTTTAACTCGGGGTTCCTTTAAATTGCTCATCCTCCAGGAACTGTCATTTTCCTTTTGATCAACTCGATCCATAGGTCATGCCTATGTTGGAGAGACTTTGAACTTGTTGTCTTGAGGTGTATCCTTTTGGTGATAGTTGCGTAAAGATATGCTTTGTAAGTTGAAATGATGATGTATGTCGCCTTAATCCTCTTGTTGGTCAGGCTTGGAGCGACTTTCGGCTTGTTGTCTCGGGATATATCTTCTTCATGGAAGTGGTGTGACGATATACTTTGTCGGATGAGTTGAGGATGTGTACTGCTTCATCCTTCTTGATGGGCAAGCTTGGACCCAGAAGTTTCAGAGTTGTGTATCTTTTGGAATGTGCAGGATAGTAGGACTTCCTCCTCGTTGTGCAGTTGAAGTATAATTGATTGGTTGGTTGGCTTGATGAGATATGAATGTTCTCAGAAGGTTTCCTCATCAACTCATGAGTGAAAGTCGATTAATTTGATTTTTGGGTACTCAGACTTCCCTTTCTTCCATGGTGGACCATTTTTGCCCCCGAAGATCCGTTACTCACTTTCTATTCTTCGGATCAAAGAGTGACTATATCAATCTTGACTTAAGACGAAAGCAAAAATGTTTGAAAAGCGTTTATTAGAGAATTAAAAGTGAAAGCCATGTCAAGACTTTGGTTTTAAGAAGTGTGTGCAAACTGGACAAAATCGTTTTTGTGTGGTAGTTGTCATATTGCCAAATTTGGTTTTCTAAGAGAAGTGTAAGCCAAGCTATGAGAATATCAGTAAGCCCTCGCTCTCACTCTTGCTTTTGACTTTGATCGCTCTCACTCCCGCTTTGGATTTCGCTCAACACTCATTCCTATAGGTGATTTGAGTGTACGACACTTCAGCTACCATTAAGATTCTGGTCGCCTTGAGACGTCGCCTATATGTTGTAACCAACTGTGTTCCTTGTGAAGATTTAACTCAAATATGGAACCCCTTGGCATGAATGATTTAGGAGGCCTCCATATGGCTTCGTTGCAGACATTTTTAGTCTCCCATGAAAGAGGCTTTTGTCCGATATGACCTCGAGGATACGAATCTCCTTGTTCTTGAAATGTAGTTTATTCAGATGGGTAACGAATGTATGAAATCTTGACATTATCGCTATAAAGCCTCTCGAAGAGGGACTTTTGCTTTGCCCCCAAAGTATGGGATTGACTTGATGGATTAAGAACCACTTATTATCTGGATCATTTTGCTGACAAAGTCTTGTTCGAAAATACTGGTGGATTTTCTCAGAATGTATCTTCAACTGGATTTGCCCCCCAGTATTTTTCACTAGCCGAGGCTGTGATTTTCGTGAATGCAATCTGGCTTGGGACTTGTCGAGGTCCTTGTTTGGCCTCTAAATGTTGAATATTGTGGATTTTCAGCTTCTGGCTTTCTCTCAAAATGATGAGTACTTTGGATGATGGGTTTTGGCTAGAACGACTTTCTTATCATCACAGTTTACTATTTGAAGGTCCTTCTTGCCGTATCTTGAGATTGATCTGCTAAGACCCTGACTTGGTGCAGGTATTTGGTACTTCAAATGCTAAACCGGGGGCACCCAGATTGTAAGTCCCACGACATTTTGTTTGTTCTTCTTTTGTCTTTTTTGCTTTGCTTTTGTTTTGTTGTTTTTCTTTTTGCTTTTCGTTTTTTTTTTTTTTTTTTGCTTTTTTTGCGTGTGGGACTTACTTGACTCTGTCATGCCCCCGACTATGCTTTTTCTTTCTTAATCTGGAGCTTGTCTTTGGTGGGACGAGTATTGAAAGGATCGAGAGTCCATTTTGATGATTGATTGTGTGGGTGTCACTTCTCGTGAGCTAGGTTGAATTGGCTATTCGTTTTGTAGAAGTGAGGATTTTGATACCATGCGCTTGTTTGTATAGATGAGTGCTTCACTCGTGTGATTCTTGGGTTTTGATAAATGGGATCCCTGAACTTCCTGGTCTTCTTGTCACTAGACACTTGTGAGGGTTTTCTTGGTATGATGCTAATGTTTTGGCTCCCTATGCATCGGGATTGACCATTTGACTTCTTGTAAACTGAATGTCAATCCGTTGGCGAAAGTCGACTATAGTGGTGTCGAGATTCTACAAGTAGCATGATGTCGTATACTCATTACACCTTTTTCCTATTAGCTCACATAATTTATGGACACCAGTAGGGTGTTTATCCCTTGATTTTAGCGAAACACGTACACTCTCAACGCAGTGGGTGCTAAATTTATCGATGGTAGCATGGTGTTTATAATCGCTCGACACCAGTGGGGTGTCCCAAATCTCAGCACCAGTGGGGTGCTCACATTTTCTTTGCATGAAAATCTCATGGCTTAGCTTGAAAATAAAATTGGATTTTGATGGCTTTCATGTTTGAGAAAATAAATCTGTTTTAAAAAAAAGAATCCAAAGTGGCATTCGTTATTTTGATAAAAACATTGATGCAAACTCTTAAATTTAGATTGATAGTGGTCACACAATGCTCCAAAGAGGTCAAAACGTGAGAGACCTTTTATTTATTATGATAAAAGCAGAAGTGATACATATTTTGCTAAGGCAAATTATCTCGATATTTTATTTACTAGGTAGGATCAACATCATCCTTAAATCGAGCTTTGCCTTGTAGTATGTCTACTAATTCCCATGAGTTGGCAGTGGGTTATTGTTGACATCTGGACGCTTTGGCTCATCTTCGAACTTTAACCAGCCAGTATTCATCATTTGTTGGACCTTGATCTTGAGCGATCTGCAGTCCTCAGTCGAGTGTCCCGCTACTCCCGAGTGGTAAGCACAATGTTGGTCTGTTTTGTACCAATTTGGATAAGGAGGTTTCATAGGTTCACATGGTATTGGGGAGATTAGGTTACTTTGAATTAGCTGAGGGAAAAGTTCAGTGTATGTGATAGGGATAGGATCGATTTGGATGGGTTTCCTGAACCTCTCATAATTATTCTGGTTTTGGTTATTTGGTGGTGGTGCGACTCGTGTTGGGCTCTGGATGGCTCGTTGAGTAGGAAAATTTGGACGTTGATTAATTATTGCAGCATTTGCAACACATGGATGGGCTTGATTGGCTTGAGGTTGATGATCCCACCTTCTTCCTCTGGGTAATTCTGTTTGAGCATAATGGACATCTGCTTCTCCTCTTCGGGCTTGGTGTGGTTTCTTAGAGGCTTCTGGGCTTTCCATCCGACCTTGCTTCAAACCCTTTTCTATTCGCTCTCCGATTACAAGCAGATCCGCAAAGTTGGTTGTGGTAATTCCGACCATGTTGTTGTAGTATGGAGCCCTTAGTGTTCCGAAGAAGATTGACACCATCTCTTTTTCTGACAGAGGAGGTTGAACATCTGCAGCTTTCTCTCTCCACCTTTGAGCATATTCTCTGAAAGACTCTTTCTCATTCTTTTCCACATTCCTCAGATCTTCTCGGTCTGGAGCCAGATCCTGGTTATGCTTGTAGTGCCTCATGAATGCATCTGCGAGGTCTTGCCATCTTCTCACTTTTGTTTTCTCTAGTTGCATATACCATCGTAGGGCAGAACTACTCAGGCTGTTTTGGAAGCAATGTACCATTAGTCTTTCATCTCGAATATGGTTGGCCATTTTGTTACAGTACATGACCAGATGACTTTTTGGGCAAGTGGTGCCATTGTATCTTTCAAATTCTGGCATTTGAAATTTGTGAGGAATCACGACATCTGGGACCAGACATAGTTTTGATGCATCCATAGGCTCGTACGACTCAACTCCTTCTATGCTTCTTATTCGTTCATTCAAGTGTTCTAATTTTTCTTCTAGCATAGCTTCAATTTTATGTTCCTCTTGCTTCTCGGGTTCTCCGGATTTGTCATGCTTTGATGACCCAATATCACCTTTTTCGCCTGTGTTCTTCGAAGGTATGAGAATGAATTTACTACCTGAGACGTTTCCCTGAGGTTGCTCATAGTGATCGTCGTCATCAAATACGATTTCTTCCTCGTTCGTTGCAACCTCCTTCCCTTTTCTGGACAATATGCTCACTATTGTGTTGAGCTGGCTTTTCATCTCATCGAAGCCCGTTAGTTTCTCATCGAACCCCACTAGCTTCTCGTCAAACCCGGTCAGCTTTCCTTTGATGTCGTTCAACTCTTTTTGAAATGCATCCAATGACGACCTCGAGCTTGGATCTAGTTAAGTACTTGAAGTCTTGATTTTTTCCTTGTGGACGAGCAATTTTAAGGAACCCTGACCAATTACTTTTATTAAATTGACTTGAATGAACGATGGAGAGTATGTATGATGCTTATGCGATGCACAGATGCACAGATGATTCATTGGATGCACGTGCATTTTGAAAATGTCCACATGATTTATTTTGAATGCATAAGCGTAAACCCAAAATGATGCTTATGAGTTTCTTTTTTTTTTTTAAAAGAAGAAAAGAAAAATTCACATTGTTCTCACAAATAAATATATCGCGATTGGTAAAACATACCACAAATTATCACGTCAGTAGAAAACATACATATAGATAATAAGAACATAACCCTATTTGGGAAAAACTTAGGGCTTTCAGAGGGCATAATGACGCGGTTCTAGGGTTGTTTCGGGATTATTTTGGACGGTTTAGGGAGGCCTCGATGCTTACTATATGCTGGCAGAGGAATTCCTAAGGATTTGGCTCCCAAGTTGTATCCTACCATAGCCCTTACGAACTGGTTGGATACCTCAAGATCATCCTCGGATCTGAGTTCAACTTGGTTGGAAAGTTTTGCGTGACTACCACCACTGTGAAAGTCACGGTACTCCTTTTCCGTTTCTAATAGGATAGCTCGGGTATAGAGCTTTTATGCATGAATGCAGAATTAAATTGCGAAAACATAATTGCGCAAATAAGAAAGTAAACACCCAACACGTAATAGAAAATTAGAAAACTTATCGAACTTAGTTATGTAGCTCGACTCTCGAATTCCCCAGCGGAGTCGCCAACTGTCGCAACCGTCCCGTCCGGGGGTCCGAATGTCGTCGCGTCGGCGTTTTTGGGAGTCGCCATCGATCTTAGTTGGAGTGGATCGAACACTCTTAGGATCGGCTCTAACCTTAGGGTCAGAACCGAGATCTGGTCTGCGAAAATGAAGTTCTGGGTTCGGGAGTACGGTTACGTGTAGGGAAGTTAAGCAACACCCCCACAACGCCCTAAATCGGTACTACTTAAGTCGATAAGTTTTTATGCGAGTTGGGTGTATTTTAGTACTAATTTTGTAATTTTAGGTCCCACTGGACCATTTAACGATTTTATCGTATTAGTTGTAATTTAATTATACGCCCACTGACGTAAAAATTTAAAGATAAAGTTAGTTGATTAATTGGACTCGAACCTTATCGGTTGCCTACGTACCCGTAAGACGGGATCAAAGTCCACGTAGTTCGCTTGAACTTTGATAGTTTAATTGTGACATTTTCATCACGTTCCACTGATCGTGATTTTCGTATTATAATTTTGTTAATACAATTTAATTTGATTATTATGAAATTATGAAAAGAGAATATAATAATTTAAGTTATTAGGAAGAAGCTTGACTCGTATTGGAAAAGAAACGAGATAAACTTAATCCGCATTTACCATTTCGTATTAAGAACTATAAACAAATAAACTAAAGCGGGATGGTTAATTTAACATATTATTGTCGGCAGCCCAACTGGTCAAACCGCTAGCCTCTTCTGACCCCGAGACCACGGGTTTGAAACGAACAGAGTGCAATTTTTTTGATTTTTTTCGTTCTAGTGTGGGGATGGGGGAAGGGTATTTTTGTAATTGCCCAAAAACGCGGTGGCAGGGCCGCGTAATAAGCTGAAAACCCTAGGGGCATTTTTGTCATTTGTGGGTGGGTATAAATTCATCGTTTGAGACCCAGAAATCAAACCCTAGCTCTACAAGCGGCCGCCCTCCTTTTCTCGATTCTTCTCCCCTCTCCTCTCTTCTCTCTCGGCCGATCCCTCTTCTTCTTCCTTCCCTTCTAGAGAAATCCAAAAACCCTAGCCTAAACAAACCCCGAACGGCCGCCGTCACTCTCTCCCCTCTCAACCGCCGATCCCTCTCTAATCCGAGAAAGGGAAATCGACAACCTAGCTCTCTCCTCTACGCCGCCGTCTTTCCCCTTTCTCGGCTGGCCAGGGGAATCGCTCGTATCAAGTTAAATCGACCTAGAAGGTCTCGATCTAGGTAAGATTCTAGACCTGCATGCTCTTTTTAATTCGTTTTAGGCGATTTTGAGAAGTTTTAAAATTTTGAAATTATCTGTTTCCGGTACTTATGGGTTTCGACGGATGGGGAAAAAGGAAAGGAGGGTTGATGGAACTGGATCTCAGAAGAAGAAAAAAAAACGGTGGCGGCCCCAAATCGACTAGAAAATGAGTCGATCTAGGTATGGTTTTGACTATGCATGTGCGTTTTCCTTGGTTTTCTAGTAATAGAGGATTCTAATTTTTCCTGGGTTTCGATTTGTGCGAGGGGTGGAGGAAAAAGCTTGTCGCCAATTTGGTTACCGGCGGCGAGGTAGAAACTGACGGAGATTGCAGCTCCCTCCGCCGACGTGAACTTCATAGGGACGAAGGTGAGCTTTATTTCGTATTTGGTTTTCTATTGATATTAATTGATTCTGACTTCTATTCGTTTTGGTGCAGGATATGGGAGTGGACAAGTTTGGGTAAGGATCTCCTAAACTCGGCTTAGTGTGATTAGTTTAGGTTAAACTAAACAAATGGGTATGCGATTTTTAAGATAGCCAACAGATCTGGGTAATTTCTAAACTTCGAATTAGTATAACTAGGGATTTTCTTACTCGAAAAGTGGATTATGCAGATCTGAACTTTTGAAAAGTGGTTGTTTATGCATGTTTTCTGCTCTTAGCACATGGATTGGATTTATCTCTTAAGAAATTGAGTAGTTAAAAAAAACTTGACTCCTTAATAATGATTGATCACCGCCACTGCTTGCGATCGACTGAAACTAGGAAAGTAAAGCAAACTAGGAAAGTAAAGCTTTCATTATGGTGGTTTAAAATTGGATTCCAAATATAGTTTTTTTTTTCAGAAAATATGGATGTGAGTATTTCGATTTTTATTATGCGATTAAAAATACAAAGTAATTTGAAGGATAGTTCTTTAATCAACACCGCCACTATTGGTGATTTGTTAGACTATGGACTGTACTATTTTTTATATGAAATCAGATTGTGTTTGGACGATTGAATCTGGATTCGGATTGATCTATGGACTTCTAAAAGTTTGTTTTTGCTTATTTCAAAAATATGCTATTGAGTTGTAATTTAACTTGCTTACATATATATGTGTGATCATAACTGCTTGCTTAACAAATCACTGATCGTGAGAAATTCTAAACATAATAGAAAATTAAAACAAAACATCCAACTTTGATCATAGTTATTTTAATTGGCATAATGGTGATGGAATATACAAAGCTGATAATACGAGAGGGGAAAAAGCTTCGATGAAAGAGCTTAATGAAACTGATATGATTAGATCTTATTACAAGTAAATACAGTTCTTGAACGTAAAGAACGCAGAAGTGTTTGTAAATTAAATTGCTTCAATACAAGTTGATGGATATTACAACTGTATAATGATCAAGACTGGATGAAACGAGCTGAAATGCTATCTATCAACATTAAAGCAGAGTCAAAAGTACCAACCTGATTGGGATTTCTGCTCCAAGAACACTTCCTTGTGCTCCACCCTTCAGATCTGGGCTCAGTTTGTTGTTGTAATGAAAAGATTAGTCTCTTGTTTTTAGAATTTTCTGTATGTCTATCTCCTTTTTCCCTTTTTCCCCCCTCCTGAACTTTGTGGTAAAGCTTCTATTTATATCTGTTTTTCACTGTTTATTTAGGATTGGTGGCAGTTTTTAGTTCATGGATGGATTGGTGTTAGTTTTACATTGGTTTTCAAAGGGGGTGGCCGCCTGCCACATTTTGAAGAGGCAGCTGTCACTTCTGCTGTTAGTTTTCGGTTAGTTTCCAGGGAGGGGGGTGGCTGTTTTACTCCTTTCAAGAAATGGCAGTAATGATGGCTAGTCCTTTGGGATGGGATAAGGTACATTGACCTGAGTTGACCGAAGTTGACTCTGTGATTGGGCCTTTTGACTGGGTTAGGTCATGTTGACCAAGTATGGGCCAAAAGTCATGGGTCTGAATTAGGTTCATGATTTTAATTTGGGTTGAAACTAGTCTGTTTTCCTCTTTTTTTCATTTTTGCAGGTAAACAATTCGTTTGGGCTCAAAGTAGGAGGGCAATGACTTCAATTTGTTGACCGAGTCTGTTTAGCGTTGTTATTGTAATTAGTTTATTGTGATTAGTTTTAATCCTTTATTATGGTGTCATTGCTACTATGTACAATGTAAATCTGATAATGAAGTTTTTGCCTTAATTCAATTTCGCACAATTCATCTACCATTCCCAAATCCAAAGCAAACTTATAGCTCAACATGGAATTGATGTTAAGATTTGCTACTGCTAATCTTAACAAATCCAATCTTAGTAGCCTAAACAACTCGGTGATTACTAATGTTTACCGACTCGTCACTGCTAGTTTCAACCAAATTGATATTAGAATTACATTAAGTGAACTGGAAGTAATTGACTTGCCACTGCAATCTCAATCGATTATTTTGAAGTTTTCGTTTGATTTATCAATATCGATTTTCTCCTTTCAAATTTTAAGTGTAGTGTGTGCCCGGACAATATGTGGTGTCTACACAGTGACAGCCATGTAAGACCTTTTTTGGTGTTGTGGCAGTCCACATGTCAGTTGTGACAGCTATACTACCTCGGTTTTCATCAATGACCTTTTGAATCTTAGACCTCTCTAAACCATAAATAGTAACTATATCCTTCTTTATGGTATTTCGGGTTGGAACTTTGAAGAGAGGGTTCAAGGTGCAACAAAAACTTTTGAAATAAAGGTGGCCAACAATAGAAAGGGGATACTCATGCACCAAGATCATGGTGCGGAGCTCCTTTCTAGACACCTCACTACTAAACTGATTCATACTCAGATCAGCTGTTCCCTTGGCACTATAGTCAGCCCCAAGGACCTTTTGACTACCATCATGAATTTTTTTTATGAACACAACGGTTCCTATGAGTCCTAAGATGGGAAGTACCATTACTCGATTTTCCAGCCAAAATCTTCTTACAATAGTTGCATT